TAATTCCCCCCGGCTATATACACCCGGGGAAACGAAAGCATTGGCGAAGTCTAAAGTTCATCAAATATCGCGGGCGTGGCTCACCAACGATGTTTCGGTGGGTGGTCATCCTCACTGATCTCAAAAATATGGCGGACTGTCATGAATAACGGACACTGATTGGTCCAATTTAAAGTTTACATTATAACGACTGCATGACGACAGCGAAATAGCAAGCATCTCTTGATTTGATGATTGATAAATTTCTTGCAAATATATTTCATTTTTGCTCCCATTTTTGCAAGATTTTGTAAATTCCAAAAGCTCTCTCAGAAAGAAACTGCGAAAGAATCGGCTAAAAGAAGGGAGCCGACCTTAACGAAGGTAAGTTTGTTTTAAATATTGATTTTATAATGGCTTTAAAACCCGAAGGCCTTTGCGTATATGAAACAGCTAAACAAGACAGCATATAATTTCAGTGTATCTTTAATATTGATTCCCTTTTTTATGATATTGAATTTTTTAAATGAAAAAGAAAGCAAAGTTATTTGCAAGCGAGAATTTGAAATCATTTTATTGCAAACTTAAAGTGCCCGTAACCCCAAAATTGATCTTCAGCTTGTTAAAAGTATGCTACCAGTGGAACAGTACTGCGAAAAAATTTTTGCGTTTGGTTGAAAAGCAAACATTTTAGAGCCACTTGAATTATGGATTGCTTGGTCAATGGACGTCGTGTACGGGAGCCTGCGTCTAGCACAATTTCTGACGTCACGCGAGTTACTGAATATCACCACTAAATAAGTGAATACACGACTCTTGCCATTAAAACTTTGAACTGAAAATCATCATGGTGATATGGTATAAAATCTTTCAAAGTTATTATCGTCGTATTTCAGGAATATTACAATTTACAGTATGTTATGTTCAAACTAGGCCGGGTTACATGATCCTTGATACACTTGCAATTGTTGTCACACGCGTCCTAAACTAGTAAACTGCAGCTTCTCTATATTTTACGATCATTTTTAGTGAGCATTTTCACAGGTTTATGAAACTTTGCCACGGTTTTTATACCACGCTGATCGGATCATCAAGGATAAACCACAGTTAATAGATAAACTATGTTGTGTTAATTTATGCTTTTAAGTTGTCTCTGCGGCAATATTTCATTGCCACATACCGATCATATGACAAGACAATTTACACTACCTTACAATTTGGTGCGCTATTCGGTCACCACAAAGTTCGGATCACTAGATGTACACCGGTAGTATTTTAGTCATTTCACGATCAAAGTATTGTGTTTTAACGGGAAAGTGTTCTTGTGAAGTGCGCATATATTTCTTAGAGTTAGAGTGAGCAACGAATACTTTGTACTCGCAGATCTCAAGCACATATCAAATGGCAGTATAGTGACACAAAATTTACGATTCCAATGCAAATCAGGGGCGGATTCAGACAGGTTTGACAGGTTTATATAAACCTGTCAGATTTTCCAAAGAAAGAAAACCTATTACCTTCCATGTACATATATAACTAATTTAAAGAATATTCTGTTTCATAAACTTGATGTTAACGTTGTCTAATCTATTACGCCATTTAAATACTCTTATTGAAATTTGATTCTGGATTACCGAGCGTATTTAGACCCACTTACATAATAAGCATTTAATTCATTAAGGACTTATCGCGTTGGTTTCCTCTTACGAAATGTTGTAATACTAGACAAATAATCTGCTAATATATCGTCGTGGGTCGTGGACTGAAACATCGCATGAATCACACATAACCGCCCGCAATTATGAGTAAACCGGTGGTCAGAGTTTTCTCAATGAGAGTAAACCGGTCGATACGCCATTCGATTGGCTAAACGGCTGCGCTCCGACGGATGTAAACCGGTCATAAACCTGTGAGTCGAGCAGTATTTAGAGAAAACTGGGAATGAAAGTTAACAGAACTCGAGGACGCGCGAAATATGTTTATAATTTTGCGTGACTGAAAATTGCGTTGGCGATAGAAGCATTTACATGGATTTCTTGTTCATTTTGAAGGTTTGTTTAAAAGTATATAGTCTAAAATTATAACTGTAAGCTATTTCTACTTACAGTACTGTGTAATAAATATCGATCCGTCAACAAGTGTATCGATGTTTATACAGTCTACCCTCATGATAGCGCGAAATATGTGTATAATTCTTATAATATTGCGTGACCGAATCATTGCGTTTGCGATAGAGAATCAGGAAATAATTGTAACGCTTTCACGCTCGTGCAGTTTGGTTTCTATTTCATTGTTAAAGCGGTTGGTTTGAAAGCGTATAGATCTAAAATTACAACTATGTTTATATTAATAAAAGCATCTCTACTTGTTGTACTTATAATAAATATCGATGCGTCAGCAATTTGCCAATCCTATATTTTTATCACCAGCTAATAAGTTTCCGAAAAGGCTCAATTCATTGTTTGAGCTGCGTATATTAGTCCAAAATTCTCTTAAAAACATGTATTTTCTAACCATTAAATTAATTTAAAAGGTGACGCAAGAACGCAGGAAATGCTGTTTCAGAGGCCCGAATTTTAAAAATTTCCCGGGGGTTCATGCCCCCGGACCCCCCTAGTGGTTGTGTCGACCTAGTAAACCTGTCATCCAAAACGCTGGATCCGCCCCTGCAAATAATATAGCGAATGCGTTTTAGAACATAAATTACCTAACAGAACATAAATATATCATGCAACGACTATTAGCGCAAACGGTAAGCTAGTAAAATCATGATTTTCGACAAAACGAACGCGCTATTATACAGACACGATCAGTACCAGGCCAATTTTATAGTGCTGTTGCAATTTAATACGATACTTGTTATTGTTGAGCAAACTGCCAGGCAAACTGTAAACTTCAAGGATCAATATTTTCCAACAAGCAAGCACGCTCTTCTTTAGTGATATATTTGAACAACACGGATTTTTTAAAGTTGATATTTCCAGCGTCTTGTTATACTGAAATCAAGCGCCCTGACTGAAATTTACATACAATGATATCAAACGCGCTCCTGCTGAAACCACAACTAACTCGCGTGACGTCACAAATAATGCTCGTTCCAGACTTCAAGCAGTTCAATATTCCGACGGCCATGTGCCAAGAAAATCGCAATATAAGCAGGTTCAAGTGGCTCTAAAATTTTTGCTTTTTAACCAAAAGCAAAATTTTTTTCGCGAAACTACTGCACTCATAGCATACTTTCAATAAGCCGAAAATCAATTTTGGGGTTACGGGCACTTTAAAGTTTATCGATAAAGCCGTTTTAAAAGGCAGAGTAGTTTATAATTAACACTAGTGACTTTAAAACGTTTTGCGAAGCGTTTGTGGTTGAATTTTACCTTAAATTGAGGCTTATGTTACGTATAATAACATACCTAACATATAGTATGTTGGGAAATTAATAATTTTGTAATTAAAAGTGATATTCTTAGGCGATTTTTCATTTGTAAGAAACAACCTCGATCCCAGGGCCTTTCGAGGGAGGGGAAAGGCCCTGGCGTCGGCCGGTCACGTGACATAAAAACACCCAGATATAGTGGGTGTTTAAAATTTTAATTATACTTAAATTTTGCATATTAAATTACCAAAGTTAATTCAACATGGCGGATGCTCCGAGTAAGCCAGATTTTTTAACTGTACTTGGACGATTACAATATGCTTTGAAACAAACGAACTATCCTATTTTAAACTTCAAGCCGCTACAAATTAAGTGTCTGGAGTATTTTCTCAAGGGGCATGATGTTGTTGGCGTCCTACCGACTGGTTTCGGAAAGTCAATGCTTTTCCACATAATGCCTTATTTAATTCCTGTAAAAACAAGAAAAAATATTGTCCTCGTTGTATGTCCCTTGAACTCTATCATCGAAGACCAGCTCAGGGTGCTAAGAGAGATGCATATAACTGCCGATGTTATACAACTAGCAGGAAACGAGCAAGAACTGGTTGCAGAAAAATTGTTCAGCGAAAGTGACCAGAATCGACAAGCTGACCCTGAGTGTACTGAAAGCGAACAAATGTTGGACGGAGTCGTTAAACCGATGTTATTAAAACATTTCTCCAAAGAAATTGTAAATGGCAACACCTCTATTATATTTGCTCATCCAGAGGTTCTGTTAAGTAGCGAAGGAAGAAAATTGATGGGGAGTAAAATCTTTCAAGATAACGTTGTTGGTTGTGTAATCGATGAGGCACATTGTGTTCAGTTATGGTAGGTTGCATTTTATTATTCGAATAATATGAAAGCTGATATTTTGTTTTATGTTGTGTATTCGAGTGAGGCCAAAAGCTACTGCTTTACTTTCGACAGTATAGCTTTTGGCCTCACTTGAATACACAACATTCATATAATGCTCTGAAAGACAACTTTGTATACGTTTTTTAAACTTTGTTTTATCCTTTCAAGATGTTTATCAATTTACAGAGCTTAATAGCTATTAGAGTGTTTTGTTTGACTTGCACATGCATTTTTCAACAACCATTTGAAACATGTTCACCATATTGAACCCTGGCTAGCTACCAATGCGATTTGTTCCACAACTAAAATCTTAATTCCCTTTTCCCCTTAGGGGCGAGGAGTTCAGAAAAGATTTTAAAGAGCTCTCTGTATTAAAAGCTTTTTTCCCCTATGTTCCTACAATGGCTCTGACAGCAACAGCAACCCCAAGTCTTTTGGAAGACTTGAAGTATAATCTACATTTGAAAAAAATTTGCAAAGTTGTTGCCGTAAACCCAAATCGAAAGAACATATTCCTAGTCAAGAAAGTACGTTTAAGTGACCACAAACAGCTCGAAAGTTATGATGAGATTCTCAAACCTATTGCAAATGAACTATTAATTCAAACAGAGAACTACCCCATGACAATAATATATATGAAACTGAAATATTGTGCACATGCGTATCGGTTGTTTGAAAGGATCTTGCAAGACAAACAATTTCTTGGTAAAACTACGGAACCGACAGCGAGACTTTTTGCTCAATTCCATGCCCCTCAAACAAATCTAATGAAGAAAGAGTTAATTGAAGAAATAAAGAAAGAAAACTCTAGGGTAAGGGTGGTGTTTGCAACATCGGCTCTTGGTATGGGGGTTAATGCTCCATTTGTTACTCAAGTGATCCACATCACACCTCCAAGTAACTTAGAAAGCTACATGCAAGAGATAGGCCGTGCTGGTCGAACTGGTCTTCAGTCATATGCTACATTATATTACAATAAATCAGACATTGGGAACAACAAAAAGCATATTGAGGAATCGATGAAAAACTATTGCAGATCAGAAGATACATGCCTCAGACAGCAGCTCTTGGATTACTTTGGATTTAGCATTACAAAACAAAGTAAATGCTGCTCTGTATGTGATGGGGAGTATGGAAATGCAGTAGGTACTATAAACATAGTTAAGAAGGTCAGGTGTCTGTTAGATGAAGACACAGTTTTAAAGAGCTTGGTCAACATGGTTTTGTCTGATTATCAAACTGAATCAACATCAGATTGTTCTTTGCTTCATTCCATGTCAATTGATAAGGATCTAGCTGATAGTATTGTGAAGCAAGTGGAATATATTCAGACAGAATCTGATCTCCTAAATAGTTTTGGAATATGGGATGAAGTGTGTTCATCCAAAATCTTTGCTCTTATTTCTGAACACACTTTGATGTGTGATGAGATATTAACACAGGAACAGGACATATTTTGAACAGACCAATCTAGTGATGGTAAGTAGATCGAGAGCGCCATATTATGCATTCTTGAATATTTGTTAGATTTTTATTTTAGAAATGTCTAATGTCTACCTATTTTTAATCTGTTTCCAATTATAACAATTTTTATTGATAAAATGATTTATAAAATTGAGCTATGACTTCTCATTCAAAACCAAAACTGAATTAATGTTATAAAGTCTTATTTTGCATGTCTAACAGCATGGATTGTAATCCATGCTGCCAAATTAGTTTACTTCATCTAGAATGAGTTAATTTTTCTTTAGATTTGTTTTGATTTTCTCAGCTAGTGCTGCTTGCCAGGGACGCCGGAACGATGTGAAGGCAAGGGGGGCAGATTTTTGTAAAAGGGGGAATTCTCTGCCAGGCGATAGCGCTTTCTTGAAGCTCGATGACTACATTTCTTGTGTTTTCTGAAGCAAATTCGTAAAAGAATTGCACTAACATTTCTGACAATTCGCTATTTCACCAAGGTAATCCTTTAAATTGAAAGGGCACCTTTGCCCCTCCTGGTAAAGGGCAACGGGGCACCTTTGCCCCCCCCCCTTGCCCCCCTCCCAGTTCCGGCATCCCTGCTGGTTGCCATTTATGAAAATGCATTATTGAATTTGTAATAAAAGAATTCGAAGGGTAGTCTTGGACTACTGCCTAAAACAAGATAAATATATTGAACTTCAGAAGTCTGTTTCTTTATTTTAGATAGTGATCCAAGACTAATCTTTTAGACTAACTAGCTACATCACTCATTACTCAACACTACTCGTACACCCGACTTAAGAGTTTTAGAAATTATTTTGTAATGGAGTGTCTTTGGTTTTTACCTGATAGGTATGCACTCAGAGCTTTCATTTGAAGGTACATCTATGTGTTTCCAGCATTGGAACATCCAACACCTGAATGGTAATTGTTGATGAAGACAACTTAATTCCAGGCGAAGCTTTCTGAGTTACATAACTTAAAATCGTAGGTATCTGAAGTGTGAACGTGGAAAAATGATAGATATATGTAAACTGACTGCATTCAACACATGCAAGCTTAATAGTTTTGTTTGTGGAAACACCACATAAATTTATTATTAACTACAAAGCTTTCAATCCGTAAGCCCCGGATCTTCATCAGTGCTAATAATATGTCAATGCAATCATACAAAAGAACTTACATCCAAGTTTGCTTAAATATGCGGTACACTCCTGTTTCTACCTTAAGCTTTGTTTACTTTTTCAATCCAAACAATCGACTGTATCAACAAAGTTGTGGGAACTTTATACATTTTCCTGCTTCTACAGTACTAATAAATGATAAATGATGCACAAACAAGCTTTACCAGAATATACAACCCAGTTGACCCTTTCACTCCTGAATTCCTGGAGCTCTCCTACTGACAAGTAAAATGAGTCATTCCAGAAAACATCCATACCAGCCCCACGGAGGAAATTGGAAGTTAACCCCCCTACCCCCTTCGGATGTTCTAATACATTTACTATTATCAGAAACATTTTTTCTCCCCTCCCTTTCCGGACAGCAGAAATTTCCTCTGTGGGGGGAGTATGGATCTTTTCTGGAACGACCCAATATTTAAAAGTTGACAAATGTTGTATTCAGGGGCCGGTTGTTCAAAGCTAATCCAGGTTTAAAATTTAACCCACTGTTTTAGTTTGCATATTTCTGCATGTCCATTTATTTCAAAATGTCAGAAAAGAAAACTTCTATTGATCCAGACATGGTTTGTGAAGAAATATTTCCAAATTTATGAACAAGCTGTTAGGAAGTTTGCTTTGAATTTTAAGTTAACCTAGGGTTAAGCTAATCGGCTTTTGAACAACCGGCCCTAGGGGCCTGGAGTGAAAGGGTTAAACTACTTGTATTATAATTAGGAGACTCCTTCGTATGCATGTTCAGAAGGCTGCAAAATGGACAGTACTGCATAGCTCTCCAAGAGTTTTATACAGTATTATAAATCAATCACTACAAACGGCAATATAGCAGTTTAATATCTAATTTGGAGTTTAATTAAGACACTTCAACTTGCTCATTATTTACTTTTGTCCATGATTTGTCCAAATGCATATAGCCAATTTCAAAACACAAGGAATCTTTGTGGTTTGTTCAGAGCATTTCCAACCAGAGTGCATTCGAAAAAGGAAGCGACATCAATATACACTCAGTCTCCACATTATTACAAATCTACATTATGAAAAAGGGGGGAAAAAATTTGTTTGAAAAGAATTTTCACCATCCTTCCAAATAGGAACCATTTCCTTGATAACCATGCTTACATCACAATATTACTGTCGTTCCAATTGAAGTGTTGCTCAAATATTGATTCAATACATTACCTCGGGCTGACCAATTCATTTCATATGTTCCTCAAGATATTCATACATTTCCTAGTATAATTGTAAACTTCCTGTTGAATAGTTTGAATGCACCAATCACCTTTGTTGTTTGTGCAACTTAACCAATCATAAATAGAAAGGAAGTGACCAGAAATGATCAAATACTTGGAATTGGCTCTTTCACAGGAATTGTATGAATATCTCGAGGAACTTGATCAAATGAATTGGTCAGCCCGAGGTGTATTGAATCAATATTTGAGCAACACTTCAATTGGAACGACAGTAACATTTGTCTATATCTGATGGAAAATGAATAAATCATTCAGTAACTGAGTCCTTAGTCAGGGCCGTAGCTATATAGACAATTGGGGGGTGGGGTGGATATTCATATATTTGTGTTCGGCCCGACGGATTTCTTTTCAATTTTTTACGGTATGTGAACATGAATATATGAATATACAGTACACTCCCCCCTCAATTATCTCGTCTATCTACGGCCCTGTCCTTAGTTAATCCCGGGGCTCGTATCTTGTAACTGGGAAAAAGTGATAGGCTAATGCAAATTAAAAAGTATTGAAATGATTTTCACCAACCTTCAAAATAGAACCATTTCATTTATAATAATTTATAACCAAATATTGAATTGCAAGTATAGTACCGGTATATTTAAGCAACCCGTGCAATTGTCCAGCAATATTGTTAATGTCAATTTAAAATGAATATTGTCAATTTGGAAACTCAGCTTTGTGTTTATCCAGCCATTGATGAAATTGAACAATGTTCAAATACTTGAGTGGGCTCTTCTTAAATTCAGGGAAGCTATCATGTTGTCTTCCTGCCACATAATTGAAAGGATTCAATTGCACGATATCGGCTATCATTTCCTTCTCGTCTTTAGTTGAGTCACGGGTTGTATGTTGTACTGATTTCGGATGGATACCCATAGAAGAGTCAAATTGGTTTAAAACAAGATGCACACCAGTACTTGCTTTACACACTTTACTTATGGAAGCTAGGGTTTTGTTTGGACCCATTCGTTGGACAATCCTCTTGCTAAGTCGGTTTGAGATCTCTTGAGCCAAGTCGTCCTCAATATTATGCCCAATGCCACCTCTCCAATTAACGAAAAATCCCCATTTAAACTCCTCTGATAGACGAGGTGTAAGTAGGCACTCAATTTGGGCAATACTTACAAACATTTCAATGGCGTACTTGCTATATGATCCCATGGCTTTGAAAACTGACAGCAAGAGTTTCTGGTTGATTAAGTTTCTTTGACCATCTCCTTCTGCCCCAGTGTCTCTCATTTGCATTATAAGAACTCCCAAAAATATAAATGAAAGAGCATAATTTTTCACATAATCATCATCACCATCATCAAGGTCATCAGCATCAACTTTCTGTAATAAGAACTTGTCAATAAATTTTCCAAATACGTCATCAAAGTATTGTTTCTTGTCTGAAATGGTCTTGTGTGCAATGTTCTCTGGAAACGGATGTAAAGTGGGTTCATCTTCTAAATTACTCATACCAAAAAAATCCAGCACAGCAGCAATGATGTAAGCTCTAGCTACACTGAGAAACAACTCTTCGCTACCTTCGAAAGTGTCAATAACTTTGGAAGGGGTAACATTCTTTCTGTTGTACTTTTCTCTAAAGTATTTCAGTGTACCAACTTGATCTACTGAATCTGGTTTGTGCAGGAATGAATATGAATACTGCAAAAGTGACGCTCTGGTGTGCCACATGACTGGTTTGAAAGGTGAACAGTGCTCAAAGCGGTCCGAAGGTGTGTGTGAACCAGCCAGTAGATCCTTTGCTCCTGCAAATCTCACACGTGTTAATTGATCACCTGAAAATGCTATCTTCATCTCATGCATTGGGTCATGGACTGTATCATGTCTGTGAGCATCTGTCTGGCCGGGTGCTGCAGGACCCTGAGGAACTGGTGGATTTTCCGTAACTGGTGCTTTGTCTAACTTTCCTGCTTTGACATAGATTTCAGCAATTCACTTTTCGTAAGTTCTTAATATTGCTACACAGTCTTCATATTTCGCTTCATTAGCATTGATAATTGGCAAGCTAACAATTGTGGACTTTTGTGACATTTGTTCGCTATACTCATGAGAAATATGGTCAGGAACAACAGCTTTTAAGAACTTAAACTTGGGTAAAAACTCCATGACTATTCGGCCAACAAGAGTCTTAGCACAATCTACGTATCTTCTCATTTCATTGACATTTAAGGAAAAGTTTTTCCGTGGAAATTGTTTTATGTCTCCCTTTGGTTTGTCATTAGGCAAATGGTTGAAAGACACTCTGTTCTCAATCAAATTACTTGCAAACAAGTGCAGATCCTCATTCTGAATTTCCTTTCTCATATGTCCTTTTAAAATCTTCAAATCCCAATTATCACCAGTGCCTCTGAAAACCTTCTCATCCTTTACCTTCTTAACAACAACATCTGAGAAATGACCTCCCAAGAGTTTGAGTAGCATATCCTTCCTGCGATGAGACAGACACACACCAAGTTTATTCAGTCGTTCTTGGAGCTAATGACGAAGATATAAATGTGTTACTTATATCTTACAAGGGAAGGGCAGGTGGCAGCTAGAGCGGCTAGCGCGCGTGCCTTTTACCACTGAGTTAAGTGTGTTACTGCTGATCGAGAACTATAAAATCTACAATAATGACATTGATTCCTCTAAATTTTTGTAAACTTTTGTAAACATCTAAAATAGCCTAAATAACCTTCAAAGCACTGACTAAATACGGCTAAATACAATAAATCACTATGAACATAAATCATATACACCCCCCGGAAAGTTTACACTATGATGCCTGATCCCTGACTAATGTGAATTTTCACCGATCAGCACAATACTGTACAGTTTCGAAGAAACTTTACACTAAAAACAATGCATTACCCATTCAGCAGTGACACACCCTAAGTTTTCTACAATTTTAATTTTGCTTTTATTCTAGACACTGTTAAAGTGTGATGTAATTACTGTGTAACATAAACTTTACAGTGTAAATGAGCATATTGTATATAATATACTATATTATAATATAGCATTTGTAAATTCTGAACACTGATTGGCTAAGAGCCATGTTGATGTAATTTTTTGTCAACACGGAAAATTTATTGCTTTATATTTCTTTGTACTATACTATAAAAACTATAAAACCAGGGGTGGATCCAGCAAGGTTTTTCTAGGGGGGGGGGGTGCTGGGTGAGCAGCCAAGTATTTCTTTATAATTCTTTGTGGGGTGGTGGGAGAGCATTCAAATGAATTGGTTTCCTAATGACTCAAGCTCCGAAGGCACAAGCTCTGTAGAGGGTCCAGGGGTATGCACCCGGAAAATGTACTGTATATACAAAATATGATCATCTTAAAAACCCAGTACACCGTATGGACTGGTCACTGTGCAAGATGTAAATTTTAAATAGTTGTATTCCAATCCTACAGGTGTACTAGTATGTGCCATGGAATACCATATAATACAAGTTTTTTTATTTCTCTTACAAAATTTGGAGAAAACATCCTATATACTTTATTTTTGTATATTATGTACTATTTGATTAACACATGAGTAGGATTGTTTTATCAGAATCGATATAAAACGCGAGGTGTAGCTGAGCGTTTTATATCTGATAAAACACAACTACAATTGCTTTGAATACAAAATATATGAGCTTCATATAGTTTAGTATTCCCCCCTAGAATCCAGTATCCCACTCATGGATACTGGCAACTGGTACCATAAGTATCATACCCCATCCCATCCAAATAAGTGTCAATAACTCTCACTGTTACAGGGCCGTAGCAACCGGGGGGGCTGCAGCCCCCCCAATAATTTGCTAATAATCATTCTTTTTTCAAAATCATGCAAACTTTATCATTTAATCTGTGACAAACTGCAAAGAATGAAGATATTACTCATACTCCAGATCGTTCCTCGCGTAGAAATTTTAGCTGAATTTCTGTCGCGCATTTTCAAGAAAATCCCACAAAATCTGCACATTTTTGATGAACTAATGATTTATTTTGTCTTTTGCGTGTTGGGTCTTGCGAAAGAAAACTCTGAAAATGCCATTTCAGACCATCTAGAGACTCCAGATTTTCGAAATTTTCTCAAATGTTCTGCCTTCATTTCCGCGCAACTGCCATTTACGACGAAAATTCCCGCCGCGCATTTATAATACTACAGTCTGGCCCATACTTTCCTGTAAATTTCGACATACTAAAACGCTGTTTTCTGACTATCAGAATTCTGTTAAATCTTCCCCCAAAGTCCAGGAAATGGCATTTTAGAGACTCTAAATTTAAAAATTTCCTCGGGCCTTCGGCCCTCGCTTTCAGCCCCCCCAATCGAAAAGAGCTTCCTACGGCCCTGTGTTACAAATGAGATGATACTTCCCTACTTGAAATAGTGGACGATCCTGCTTTGACTTCAGCAAAGCTAAATAATGATCTTGAGCTTATAAATATATGGACTAAGAAATGGCTTGTAACTATTAATCCAGATAAAACTACATCTATGATATTCTCTGTCAAATGTCAAAAACCTTTACATCCTCAGCTAAAGTATGATAATAAAGCCATTGAATCTGTCAGTAATCATAAGCATCTAGGAGTCACACTTTCGTCTAATCTTTCATGGAGAGCTCATGTGTTTAATATTTATGAAAGAGCGTCAAAAAGATTAAATTATTTTAAAGGTTTGAAATTTAGAATCAATAGAGAAGCTTTAAATCAATTGTACAAGGCACTTATAAGACCCGTTTCAGAATATGCTGATGTGATTTGGGATAATTGTTCCTTGAGTGAGTGTGATCTCATTGAATCAGTTCAATATGATTAGCAAGAGTGGTCACAGGTGCTATGAGGGGAACTAGTAGATCCAGATTGTCGGATGAATTAGCATGGGAAGATATGAATACCAGGCGTTCTATGCATAAGCTTGTTTTATATTATAAAATTGTTAATAATCTTACACCAAGCTTTTTATCATATTTGTTACCCCAAATGGTGCAACAAAGGTCGGGCCATTTTCTGAGAAACTCTGCAAATTTTACCTTGTATATGTCAAGGACTGAAAGATTTAAAAAGTCATTTTTTCCTTCGGCTACGTTTATGTGGAACAATCTCGAGCTTAGAGATTGTGATTTATCCTCTGTTAAAGTTTTTAAACGCTCGTTATGCCAATATTTTGATATTCAAACATATAATAAGTTATATGATTTTGCGAATGATAGGTTTTCTTCAATCTTGCATACTCGTTTGCGTTTGGGATGCTGTGGTTTAAATTATTATTTGTTCAAAATAAATTGTATCCTGTCGCCTATGTGCATTTGTAACACGGAACATGAAACAGTTGCCCATTATTTGTTAAGATGTCCCCGTTATGCTGCTCTTAGACACAACTTACACTCGAGTGCTGCACAAGTGTTTGGTGATAATTGGTATCTATTGTCAGATTTGCAACAAGTAAATATTCTTCTATCTGGTTCTACTAGATTGAATATTTCCGAGAACCAAAATATTTTTAGATCTGTCCAGTCCTATATAAAGCAAACTGAACGTTTTTCTTAGTTCAACCTACCAATTATCGCTTTTGCCTTTTGTTGTGTGCTTTATGGAGTCTTAACTCTCACAAAATTAATGTAAATGTTGTGTGAGCCCCCTAGATGAGCTATTGCTCTTGGGCAAACGTAATTTTAATAAATATATTTATACAAAAAAAAAAATTTGCAATAACAACAGGAGAGTCAATATAACTAAACAATTTACTAATACACTAAAATGCATATAATCCATCAACAAACTTCAATATGCTAGTCCTCAATGAGGAAAAACTGGTGGCAAACTAGTATTCAAAAACTATCAGGAGCCCATCTTCTTAGTATCCATGAGTCGGGATACAAGTTACTCACAGATTGGTATCCAAAACCAAATTTTTGGTATCCTGTGGATATATGGATACTGCAAATATCAGACCCCGAATTACTGATGAAGATGAGCTTTATTGGGTATAAACCCACCAACACGGTAGTGATTTTTTTTCTATGTTTGTTTGCAAACAGGTATAATTTATGCTGATCAGATCAATTCTTTTTCTATACAATACAAAATTATTACTAATAGAAGCATGACAATTACTTAACTGAATTATTTGAAAATCATTGATAAACCTTTTACTCTGTGGTACACACACAACTGGTATTCTGTACTGATTGTAGGATTTTAATACTTTTCATCAAATTATGTTGGCAATATCCTACACACCTATCCTATTCTATCTTATCTTATCACACACCAAATCAGCGGCGGCGGAACAGATTTCGTTCTGGGGGGGCTAAATTTTTTCGGCGACCCCCCCCCCGTCGCCAAAAAAATTTCGGTCAGTGTACCACTTTAGGGGTACAATATACAAAAAAAGGGACGAAAAAATTTTTTTCGGACTTATATCAAAATTTTTTTTCGGAAATACACTTTTTTTAAACAAAATATTGCAAATTTGTCCCCTTATACCTAAATTTTCAAAAAATAAATTTTCCCCTAATTATCACATTTTTTTCCAAAAATTCAAATTTTCTGGGGGGGCTAAGCCCCCCCCACTTTTACTTCTGGGGGGGCTTTAGCCCCCCTAGCCCCCCCCTGTTCCGCCGCCCCTGCACCAAATCTTGTTACAATTTGATAAACCATTGCTTACAGAATTTTTAATTTAATAATATTAAAAGTCACCAAATCTACTCAGCTGTAATTCCCCCAGGAAGGAATAATACTGAACATACCATACTGTGAAACATATTAACATGTCATTTTATATGGCATACATGACAAAATATATGGAACATGTAAATTTGTGTGATATTATGTGGTACATACACTTGTATTACATAAAGAATCATCATCAGAGCAATTAATATAAAATAGATCCCTAAACTTCATGTTTACTTTCTTGGGAGGGCAAAAAATACCTAAGAGATAATAATATTATTAATCCATTGTGTGGCAGCACTCTCCACTTGACGAGGAAAAATCATCTAGCGTTATACAGAGTAAAATACTAAGGGAGGGCATATTGGGGTGCATTGCCACTGGGTTGTAAAGGGTTAAGAGGATGCATGAGCATGTTTGGTTAACCCATTGAGTGGCAACACTCTCCACTTGACAAGTA